GATGAGGATCAGTGCCTCCAAATCTGAGACCATGGTCTTGAGCTGAAAACTGGTAGCGTGCCGCCTCCGGGTCGGGGAGGAGCTCCTGCCCCAAGTGGAGGAATTTATCTCGGGGTCTTGTTCATGAATGAGGGAAGAATGGAGCAGGAGATCAACAGGTGGATTGGTGCTGCATCTGCAGTGATGTGGGCGCTGTACCGGTCTGTCATGGTGAAGTGAGAGCTACGTTCCTACCCTCATTTATGGTCGCAAGCTTTGGGAAGTGATCGAAAGAACGAGATCATGGATACAAGCGGACAAAATGAGTTTCCTCCGCAAGGTGTCTGGGCTCTCCCTTAGAGATAGGGTGAGAAGCTCAGTCATCCAAGAGGGACTCAGAGTAGAGTTGCTGCTCCTCCACGTCGAGAGGAGCCAGTTGAGGTGGCTCAGGCATCTGGTTAGGATGCCTCCTGGACGCCTCCCTGGTGAGGTGTTTCTGGGATGTCCCACTGGGAGGAGGCCCAGAGGAAGACCCAGGACACGCTGGAGGGACTATTTCTCAGCTGGCCTGGGAACTCCTTGGGATTCCCCCGGATGAGTTGGCCCAAGTGGCTGGGGAGAGGGAAGTCTGGGTCTATCTGCTTAGGCTGCTGCCCCCGCGACCCGACCCCGGATAAGCGGAAGAAAATGGACGGATGGATGGTAATGCAAGTTGATGTTGAACAGTTGTGTGACCATCCATGATTGACAGACGTGTGTCAGGAAAAAATAATAATTTGGAAGATACAGTAAATACATGTGTCATGTGTGTGTTTGAGAGAAAAATGTTGTAACCACTTTTAGAGAGGTTAGATCTAAGTTACCAAATCATATTTTGTTTTTCATAAAACCAAAAATATGCATAACGGATTATGATTTTAAAATTAATTATTTTGCTGTTCTCCTTTATTATCTTTTTAAAATTTAAAAATAATTGGCAAAACATGATTTTACATATTGTAAATGAATCTTTACTGGATTTATTTCAACTACATGTTCCTACCAATCCATATTCTTTACCTGCTTTGCTTTTCSCTTCAGGATCAAACTCTAACCCACACATTAGGACAACTTAGAGTTGCCAGTAAAMCTAATATGCTTGTTTCTGGTCTGTGAGGGGAATGTGGAGAAAGGCCAGGAGATGATCTTGCAACCTTCTCACYGACAGCACTAACCGTTGCACCACCRTGTCATTGCAGATMCTCTGTGTTTAAGGAAGAACAAGGAAAAGAAGAGGAATTTACTGGTCAGTATGGTCCTGCGTTTGCACTGCTCTTCCACTCCGCCCTGCTTCTTGCCAGATATCGTGAAAGGCATCTCAAACACAAATCGACGGATGTTGTGGCTCCGTTCAAAGTCCGTCTTCCTGTCGACCAGCTCCTTTTCATCCAGGTAGGGAGTCACATGTGTCACCTGGATGTATGCGTACTTGGAGTCCAGGTCTTTGGGATTTATCTGGAAAGATTATGAATCATTAAAATTGCCCAGTGGTGATAAAACTGAATCTTTTTACAAAACCACAAAGTCTCACCCTCCCAGAGTCCTGAATCATCTTCACATTTTCCTGACCAAACTTGTCTGAGTACAGCTTCAGGAGCCTCTGGGAAATCTCAGACAAAGGGGTGAATTTGGGTTCTTTGTAGATGTATTCCTTACCGTCCTCATCTTCGAAGAAACCCTGAAGAAGATAAAAAAATGTTCTCAGCTTAAAGAAACACAAAAACTGAGCTCATCTAGCAGGGTACAAAATAAAAGCACATCAAACTACATGTGAACTGTGAATAGGACACATCGCCACACAGAAAAAAAAAAAGAATAATTCAAAGTTTAAATTTGTGCTACAATTAAAATATACAAATAAGACCTAAAACTACAAACTACAGAACTAATTAGCATTAGTTTACTGGTATAAAACACAATAAAGGAGATAAAWCTGTCAGTAAAAGCTCTTAGGTTTGTTAAGGTTTTTGTTTGTTAAAAATAAAAAGTCATTTACAAGCAAAGCATTATTCAAAGGGAGCTGAATCACACTTTCCTACGATGAACCACACAAAACTAAGTCTGGTGCACAAAGGGGGTTAAATAAATCATCATAATAACGATAATAATAAAAAACAGCACTGCAGACTGCATTAGTGAAGGAGCACAGCACAAGCTTAAATCACCACTGCAGGTGCAACTAAAATGTTTGCTTTAATACCAAATTACCTCAGCCTCTGAGTCAGTAAACTGGTACTGCTATAGGGGTGTGGAAAACACACACACACAATAAAAAAAATGGTTATTTCTTGACCGCAAAATAATATAAATACATTTAATGCATTTTAATTGAAACTACTGCCAAAACCAGCTGGAATGTCAAAGAAATGTAAAAACTTTGGTTTAATATCTAAAAAAACAAACAAAACAAAACAAAAC